GTAATTACATATAAAACTTTGTCTATACTCTAATAAAAAGTTCCCCAGACCAAAGAGATCACCTTAATACCAAAAAAAAATAATAATAATAAAAATAAATAAATACTTATCGACTTTAACTATAATTTTAATTAAATCTAGATGATAGTATTAACATCAACGCACATCACTATTAATAAAGTAATCAACTCTAACAATTGTCTACTAAACGCTTCTTTAGTTGGTGTTGCTTAAAATACTCCTGAAGAATTAAAGAACAACGAAGATATAATAGTTAAAACTTCAGTTAATAACTATACAACTCAAAAACATAACTTTATAGTTAATATAATCTATCCATGCTATAATTCTAGATTCAAACAATTTAAAATCTCAATTTGCCCCAAAGAATTAATACTTTTTATCGTCGGCCAACTAGAAGTTATTTAAAAATGAACTCTATATATATGCAAAAGACATCTCATATATTGACATCCAAACATTAACTAAAAAACGAATTTTAAACCCTACTGATCCTCAAGTTTCACCATCATCATCCAATATAACACGAAATAAACTTTTGTCAGCATACCAAAGTATCTGTGAAGAACCTGAAAAAAATCTTAAAGACTTAACCTTAACAAACATGACAAATTCAGATACAACAGACTCCCAACTCTCAGATTCATCACAAAAAAATTCTCAACAAGCAAAACATGTAAAAACTAAAAATGAATCACAAAAAGATTAAGAAAAAGCCAAAGTTTCTATTAAAGAAGCAACAAATAAATCGAAAACAAATAATAACAAATGCAGCGAAAATGAAAACTACATTAAACCAAAAGAATACAGCCATGATAAGAAAAACAATAATAAGAAATGAAACACGCGTAATATTAGACAAACACGTAGTTCTAAAATCATAAATATCATAAGCAATAACGAAAATAACGAAAAGTAATCGTATTTAGTTACATATTCAATACTAGCTAATTTAGCTTTACTAAATATATATATAATTATTTCTAAATAACTCTAACCTTATTATTTTAACATATTTCTAAAATTATTATTACTATTTCATACAAAAACTGATTTATTTTTTACCAAAAAAAACAAATAAATAAATACAGTGCTCAACAAAAGTTTCCCCACACCTATATCTCCTCATAGAGACATGTTACAGCCTTGAAACTTTTATAAAAATTAGTACGTACATAGTTTAAATCATGTGCATTTTTTGAAGATTTTTTAATCACTAGAAAAAAGTTTGTATGTAAGCTAAAGTTGGGATGCTTTTTTTTTAAAAAATAAAAAAATTAATTGAAATTAAAGAAAAATTAATATATCGTTAAGACTTAAAGTTAAAATTTTAAAAAATTAGTATATAAAATTAAATGATTTCTGTTGTGGTTATAAAAAATTTGGCTCGATTTGATGAGATAATTGTTGAGAAATTAATTTTTAAAATTTTATTTTTATTTTTAAAAACTACAAAGTAATTTTTTTTGCAATTGAAACTATTTCGATATCTAGTGATCAAAATTTAATGATTTTGGTATTGTTCGAATTGTCTCGACGAGACAATTCTAATGATATCAAAATCATCAAATTTGGACTGTTGAAACATGAAATATTAGTAAAAAACGTTTGCAATACAAAAAAAGTTAGGTATCAACAAATCAAAAATAAACTTCAAAACTTTAAAAATTAATTTCTCAATAACTATCTCATCAAATCGAGTCAAATTTTTTGCCACTATTACAGAATTCATTGGATTTTAATATATTAATTTTTAGAAGCTTTAGCTTTAAGCCTTAACAATATATTTGAATTAAATTAATTTTTTAATTTTTTTGAAATGAAAAACGTCCAAAATTTAGCTCTCATCCAGATTTTTTTCTTGTAATTATAAAATCTTTAAAACACATACACGATCTAGCTATGTAGGTACTAACTTTTCTGAAAGTTTCAAGATCGTAGCACCTCTCCATAAGGAGATATAGGTGCAGGAAACTTTTGTCAGACACTGTATTATTATTAAACATATAAAAATAACTAAAAATATCATATATCGAAAAACATCAACATAATTCAAGAAAACAAATACATGCAAAAACATAAACTATACAAAAAATCTACTTAGTAGACAGTAAATAAAACAACCCAAATTTTATAAATTACAACTAATAAATAAACATTAACTAACTTTATACGAAAAACTCTAATCAAAATATCAAACAGAAATCACTATTACAAATCTACACAACGTAAATACAAGCTGTGTCTAACATAACGAAAAATATATAATCAACAAATTATCTAAATTGTAATAATAATAATAAAGCCTCATACAATTTAAAAATAAAAAACGTGAAAAATATCAAATACAAATAATAAATAAACAAAAATCACAACTAATTCAAAAAAGTTAAGACTAAATAATAAATTAACAATAAATAATAAAAAAAAACCAACAATTAACTTCTATTAATAGTTAAAACAATCCTGTGAGAAAATCCAAACAATAAATAAAAAACTATTTTATATACTACATAATAATAAAAAATCCTACTAATATATATAAATAATAAACCATAAACTATAATATTATAAAAATCTCAAAACAACATAATAAAACAGACTTAAGCTAACATGAAAACAGGGGTGCTGGTGGTGCCCCATTCTACCCTTGTAATATATAATATTATAAAATATTTGTTATTATGAGGTTAAAGTCTCATAGCCTAGTAGTCTAGATGCCTAACCCTCTACAGATGAGGTCAATGGTTCAATTACAGCTAGTGATAATTAATTTAATTAATTATTGCTATAACCTTTAAGGGCTTTTGAATGCAGAACCCTGTAGTAGTAAGACTATGTGAAGTATATATTTGGCTAATAAAGAATTCTTGAAAGGAGTTCCAAGCCATAGAGAAGATCAGATGACATGGGTCACAGAAGGTAATACTGCAGAAGGCTGTGTGTATAAATTCATGATTGGCAAGGTAGCACCAACAACCCTAAGGTAGTATTGGGATCTTGATTGGGAGGATAGCTGTATGCAATATAACTAGAAGTAGTGAGAGAAACAGTAAACATAGTAAGAGGCTGTGGTAAAAGAATAGCTTTACCAAATATAGAACACCTCTAGTACAAGGAAACAAGAAAAACCAGTTAAAAGAAATTCTAAAAAGTATAGAAACAAGTGCTCTAGTGATACAAAAATAAAGTCAGCCAGTGAGTAATGTGTCGCATAATCTATATGGAAGTCGTGAAAGCATAACAAAACATGGTAGAAGCACGGGTTCTAGATTATTGGCTTGTGACAGTAATTAAATAAGATACTTAATTTCTGTCCTAAGGATCTAAACTTCTGAATACTATAAAGAGAGCAGTAGTTTAATTTGGTAGTATACGACCTGAATACCTGGAACTATGCGAACAGCTCTCCTAAGGAGGCATCTATATATAACATTATGTACTCCTTGACCCTCTCTAGACTAGTGTTGTCAATTGGACATATTTTAACAATTTTAATAGTTTTGGACAGGGTTTTGGACATATAAAAAAGTTGTCCAAACATGTCCAAACCTGTCCAAAACCTGTCCAATTGACAATACTGCCCTAGACTATATAAAAAAAATTTAAAAATCTATAAGTTTATATATAGAATTTTACAAAAACTTAGATATATTATGACCCAGTGATCCAATCAGAATGATTTTGGTACCATTCGATTCGTCTCTGTGAGACAAATCTAATAGTACTAAAATTATTTTATTTGGACCACTAGATAACGTTTTATTAACAAAATACTATTGATTTTATAGTAATTTTATAAGAAAACATAA